AGGAAACATGAATCTACAGTGATTTCGAAATTATAGCGTTTGATTTTCGCTTCACACTAATGGTTAACAAAATTTAATTCATTCATTCAATAAACCAAAAGTGTGTTAGGTATTTTTTTTTTTATTAACTCTTGACCCTTTTTCTTTGCTCTTTTGTTTGTTAATTTGTTATAATAGTTGTAGTATAATGCAACGTGCTGCAATAATAGTTGTTTATAAATCTTTTGGAGTATTCTTATACAAAAGTGAAGTGTGTCACATTCTCTTTACGCTGTGTATTTTTTATTGTGCGGGCCACGGTCAATCGAGGCCGAACAAAATAATCTATTCTTTTATTCGTAAGATAATTTGGACACCGCTCTTACTTGCCGCCATCAATAACACCTACAAAAAGGTTTGACCTTAACATGTAATTCCGCAGAATTACTTCTATTTTGTTATTTCGTCGTAATTATTGAAAATATTTTGAAAATAAATAGCCAGTTGTTGATACAAATTAGATTACGTATCTATTAAAAGATACAGTCAAGAAAAATCTTTTTTTTTATCTGTTAGCTGCAGTAATTTAAAGGATTAAGGATAATATACAATATGTCTACGATCTATTGAGAAAAATTATTTTTAAATTTCGAAAGTACGATAGGGAGACCTTTCCCTCGGGGAGTAATACGCCATTATTGTTAAAAAAAAAATACGTTTTTACGTACCACCGAGTTGCCCACACTTCCGCCCATCGACTGTTGTCCTTTAAAGTGATCCTGGGAGATCGCTGACTGCCCAAAAAAGTACATGGAAACTGCTTCGGTCACAGGATTTTCCACAACATCATCGCTTTCGTACATTTGCCGAGAGTCAACTGTTTTTTTCTTCTTTTTATTTTTATTTTGATTGCAGTTATTAGTGGAGCAATTACGATGTCGTGCAGGCATTCGCAATAATTTCGCGGTCTGACATTGACCTCGTGACCATTAAAAAGAAAGAAATGTTTACTAAGACTTCTCGTCCCATCGTTCCGTCACTACTTATACCTACGAAGCACGACGTATTGCTTTTGTTTTCGTTTTCGATCTCAATAAACAAATAATAATAATTAAAGAAGGAAGTGCGGGAGCTACAATATTTTCCTGTCCTTATGATAAGGGCAACGTTAACTTTAATTGACTTTAGAACAAACAAAATAATGGCGTTGTGGTTTGATCTATTTCGTTTGTTCTACAACAACCGCCAAAGTTTTTCCAATCTTCATATTAATTGACTTTTATGTATGTACAAGTATTGTTTTGTGTACAGTAATTGTAACAATAGATAATGCTTCATGTTCGTCTACTCTGTCATCAGGTAATAATCAGTAAATTTAAACAACAAAAGATGCAATTAAGGCATTTAAAACGTTAGCACCTGATTCTATTTTAATATTATTTCGACAGTGTAAAGCAGTTGTAAAATTTATGAGATAATTTAAAAGTCAAGACCGTTTAACGTCGGCCTTCCCCTATGTCAGACATATTTCATTCAAATTCAACACCTTCGAATTAAAATTATTTAAAAGAGACATGTATTTTCAAAAAAAATTAAATCATTTTTCTGTATCTCTAGACAGGTATCCTAGAATTAATCTACGAGATACTTAATAGCAATTCAGAAATACTGGCTGCTTAAGGTATGTCATGGACGAATCAAATTTTTTTCTTTAAGTAAAATGTTTACAATAATAAACGTATTATTCAATGAAAAAATGTAATCAATCAGTTGCAGCCTTAGGTCTCGCAGATCGACTTAGAAAAAAATATTGAAAATAAATAAATTTCGTTAGCAAGTCTAATGAAAAAATTGATTTGCATTTTCCAAGAAAAAAGATCAAATTGGAGACGCGTGTCCAACAAAAACCTATAAACAATAATTTATTAATATGCAGAAGTCCATGCCAAAATTTAAATTATCCAGCTACGATTAATTCATGTTTAATGTCAATTGGTTGCTGTAGTCGAGACGTTATTAACCGACGTTGTCGTAAATCTAGAGGCTTGCAACCTTTTGCGTGACGTCACATGAATGAGTAGGCTCAGAAGCGACTGGACGTTTTCACAGGTTCAAACACTCCCGATTTTTTTGATTTAAAAATTGAAAAAAAAAACAAGACTAAGAACCGTCAAAATTAAAGACGAAAGCAGCCTTTAAGACTAGTAGAAGAAATGTGTACATTTTTAGCTATTAATAAGATACCAATGATATGCCTGGAGTAGTGACGTATGGTTTGGTGGTGGGGGTGTCCGCCACCGTCAAACAGATACGTTCTATATTTAAGTAAGTTTTACCAGCGAACCAACATTGCAGTGCAAAGCCGAGGAGTAGGGCGGAAAGCTCTTTAGAAATCGGGAAATAAAAAATTCGTCAGTAAATTAATTTTTGTTTATTAGATTTATAAATAAGGTAGGCACATTATAACATATATATATAAAAACGTAAAAAACTAAAGTTTCAAAAAATCAAATTCCACAAAACCAAAATTAACTTGAGGAAGATCAACGCGAGCACTGTCACTAGGGTGTAATGGGCTAGTTTAAGTTTGTAATATTTCACTCGGCCCTGGGGTATCGTGTCAAGGGGGTCTTTAAGGAGATACACCCGTCCCCCCCTTATATACGTATAAAAATACGAGTCCCATTCGAACCGTCCCATATCGAACATGAACAACTTTTGATCTTCTTCGTTCAGTTTAGTCCACAGGTTTCTGGTGTTTTTGTTTCGGAATAACCATGTCCTTGTAGCGAAATACGAAATGACGTTTAGGAATTTTTCGATCTTTTGGTACCCTTTAACTAACCTGAAATTATTATTTTTTTTTCTGTTGAAGACGTTGTAATCAAGAATGCAAATTTAATGGTGTGGTTTATAAAACGAAAATGACAAAATACTTGGATTTGCGGACCTAGTAGGGAGAACAGTTAATGTTAGCTTTAAATAAAACGGAAACGACATTGACACAAGAGTTTTGCAGGAAACATGAATCTACAATATTGATATGTAAGGGTTGTAAAAGTAAGGGTAGAACTAATATAGAAATAGGAGACGAAAGGGAGAGTAATATATTGGATAGGTTAATAAAATTGCTGGAATAAATAAAAATATAAAGGAAAAGGTAAAAGGAATGAAGAAGGAGACCAAGCGAAAATTACAGGAAATGGAAGACAGATTAGACATATCTATATAAAGAAGAAAAGCGTGTAGAGAATGAAATGGAGAAACAGAATAAAACAATAAGGAAATGGAAATGGAAAATAGTAAGATAAAGAAGGGAAGAAAGACAGCTGAACCTGATAATTTTTGGAATGGAGTTGGAGGAGATAGGATTGGAGGTGGAAGTAAAAGATATATGAAAAGGTAAAAAGAAATACAGAAGAGAAGGGTGAGGTGTATTAAAAAGATGATTTGATGATGGAAGAGAGAAAAATACAGAAGATTTTGAGAAAAGTGCAACGGAAAACAGATGAGGATAATGTAGTCAAAGTTCAGTATAAGAAAATAATAATAGAAGAGGTAGTATGAGTATTGGACGAAGAAAAAGAAGAAATGGCAAAGAAAGTAGGGAATAAGAAAGTAAGTGGGGGGAACCTTCACCATTATTTATTATTTATTCTCTAAAGCGTCATTGTAATTGTTGTTAAGGATAAAAAAGTATAACTGATGGTAAAGAAAGTCAAGAATAAGAAGGTAGGTTGGAATAAAACGGTAGAGGGAGAAGCTCCACCATTATATTATCAATCTCGAAAGCTTTTTTGTAATTGTTGTTAAGGATAAAACGGTATAACTATATGTTATTGGAAAATGAAGATGTATTTCAAGTAGTTATTACTTACATGGGTTTTTTACCTACGCAGTAGGCCAAAAAGTCGACTATGTAGGCTGGAATTCTTTGGAGGAGTATCAAACAGAGCCAGTGTATGTAATAGTTAGAATTAAGGAAAAAGCAGTAGTGCCATACTAACAAAGGGGAAGGTACGGCGGGACCATGTTTTTCTCCTAATCTTTTCCACTCTTCTGGAAGTAGTAGACGCAATTTATATTTGAAAATTAAACGTAGGTATTATATTATTCTCGCTGAAGTGGTTATGAAAAAGTTTTTAAAAGTTTACTGATTTACAATTAATTATAACGAGGTTTCTGAATTTTACTGTTTTCAAAGAACAAATCCAATTATTGGTATATTGTATAATCCAAATTCTTTTTTCCTTAAACAGCAACACATAAATTGAAATTTACATAATAATAGACGAACATCTCATAATATATGTTGAATATTTTTATAAATATTCAAACATGATGCTATTTATGAAATTTAATGTAATTTTAGGAAACAATATATTTCGGGCTTTGAATTAATTTTATTTTAAAATATTAATAAAATTTTTCGTACCTATCGATGGTCTTACTACAGCTACTGGTAATTCTTCAGCAACACTTTTAACAACATCTTCGGCGACTGCTTTTGTAAAGGTGTAGGTGTTCGGCCATTCTCCTAGGATCCTTTAAAGCACAACACAAACAAATGATTAGTTTTTTCTTACGTTGAAAATGCTCATTCTATTTCTTGTTGTTTTTAGTTTCAGTATCAGTTTCTACAGTTTTTGATTTGACTTACGTGGGCGTGATTTTTTTAAGGGTAGCTTCATTGAGAGACTGGGAAATTGTTATAAGTTTTTCTGCTGAAATTGGCGTATCGTACAACTCTTCTTTTACGGTAGATCTCGGACAATTACAATAAGCCGTCGACACGTAAACCAAAGCCTGAAAGAATTGTTTTATTGTATTTTCGGACGAGATAGCAGCACCGAATGAGATTACCAGCCTAGCTACAGTAGAAGTTTACATACGAGGGTGCGTTTTTAAGTTCGCGAAATGGGTAGGCAGATCATTACTTACTCGAGTCATTACAAATTAAGCAACTCATTATTAGTAGGTATAAACACCAAGTTTTATCGTAATTATGTCAAAGGTCTTTGAACTATCGTCGATCGAACAAGTCAATCGGGAGCAAATTTTGAAATAAGCAAGTAAATAAGTTCCTTACTAAGCAAGGAAAATCAGATCAATCCGTACTGGAAGAGATGTCATCCATTTGCGAGGACTTTTGGCCAGGTAAAACCATGGTTTACAAGTGGCATACCCTCTTTGAGCAAGGCAGGGACTCACTTGAAGAAGACCCACGGCCAGGCCTNAGTAACCAGGTGTTTATCTATAAACTACTCATGAAGATTAACATAATTTTGTCGAACATGCGCATTCATCGCATTAACTAACAATCTGTTTCTCTTTGTGATTTTATTTAAATAAAAACCCTTATTTAATTCTATAGCCAGATTTTTTTACAAGGGGTTCGCAGTTGTATGGGATATTTAAAAGGGATACATGCGTTTATAAGTATGAGAAACCCTGTTCTAAACTGTTGCAAATTTCACATACAAAACCCACCATTACCTAAACGTAAACTTTGTATATGACGCCAACACTGAAATTGAATGCTTTTAAAAGGTTTATTTGAAATATTTGCATTTAAAATGCAAATGCAATATAAAAAATACATATTTTTGTCTTGCAGTTAAATACTTTTTTTCTATTTGTAAAATGCAAAATACATATTTGGCGTTGAAAGTTCTACTAGTATCACTACATAGTATAAAACAAAGTCGCTTTCCCGCTGTCTGTCCCTATGTATGCTCAAATATTTAAAACTACGCAACGGATTTGGATGCGGTTTTTTTTTAAAGATAGAGTGATTCAAGAGGAAGGTTTATATGGATAATACATGCATAATATAGTAGGGAAACACTGATAATTTTAGAGGTTTCTAATGTGATGTCGTAAATAAACACATTTTTTGCGCTTACATTGCAAACGCTGGCTGAACCCTACGAGATAGATCAAAATAATGTACTACAATATTGTACATCTTAAAAGGGTCTACAAAAAAGTCCGCGATGGTATATGTCTATCTCTTAGGGATAACCCACAATAACCATTTTTATCCTTTACTTTTTATGAGAAATAATGACTTATTTACGAAGCGATTGTAGGCAATACAGCATTAATTCTTATCCAATTAAGTACCTTAAATACATTGTGCATTTAATATAGATCAATATGGCCCTTTACAGCATGTAATTTAAATGAATATTTTCGAAGATATTACAGATTTAAAATGCAGGGACATAGCGGTTGCGGCGGTACTGGCCGGGAGGCCGGTTTGTATTGTCTAATGACAAAAAAACTGTGAATGTTGTATATAAAGACATTCTGTAGTATATTTAGTATGTTCAGGGGGTATCTTTTGAAGATTTCCCCTTCTCGATAATAATCTAAACAAAACAAAAATATACATATTTAATATCAGCATTGCACCCGTGCGAAGCTGGGGCGGGTCGCTAGTGATTATATAAAATGATGAATGAAAGTTAAATCGTATAAAATAAATCGAAAAGTATTTGCATTTTGTATTTAAATGCTCTTAAAAACCCATTTTGAACATCTCTGGTTCTAAGGATCGATTAAACAATTTGCGAGAAAATTAACATTGAGTTCATGTCACTTAATTATAACGTGTAATGTAAATTTATGTTTATGAAATAAAAGCTTGTTAAACAGGTTTATTGAGATTTCGTTTTTTCAACGGTGTCAAATGTATGCAAAACGCCAGTCAATACTTCGTGTTTCAGATGAAAGAGTAACAAAATGATGACACACTTACATATCCTCCAAACAACCAAATAAAATCAATTTAGCAGTAGCGGTATTAGTCCGAAAATTCTTTAGCCAATGTTAAATAATTCGTCTATGTAGAAATAGATACATTGGGCAAACGGACAGAAATTTCTGAATGCGATTTAACAAACATAAAAATAATTTTGTATAAAATAATAACGAATCAACGTACTGGAATCTTTCAGACAATAAAAACTTAAATACTGCAGGGATTTTCTCATTTTTTTAAATATTGGAGTTTTTCTAGACTAATAGTGGCGTTTGCATTATATCACCAGCTGCGAAGATCGGGTATGATTCATATTTTTCTGTTTGAAGTGATTGAGATATAGTTTTTCCGTCTTTATGTTATAGTTTCTTCAGTTCAACAACAAATAGTTCTTCTATATGGTTTCTTATTTGCCTTTATTACCCGTTTTATTTGAAAAAAAGACGCTGATGCCAAAATAGTTTGCTTACCGTGAATGATCAGAGCCAAAATAGGGTTGCAAATAATTCTATTGATGTAAAATCAGCATCAATCATTTTATATCAAAATATTTACAACCCCATTTTGTTTCCGATCTTTTACACATTGTAATAAAAGAAAAAATGGAATCCATAGTTTCTTTAGCTTTGGATTCATCTAATAAGTGAAGTTTTTCGAATCGTTTTCTAAGAATTTTGGATTATACGAATTTCGAATTCGATATTGTTTCGCGGGCTGTTTTCTCGTAATTCGTAGAATTTCGTAGTTCCCTGCTAAAGGTACGATAAGTGGTGATTTGGCAGGTGCCGATATCAAGTAGGAACTTCAAAATTCCATGGACAATGACATTGAACCCGGAAAACAATATCGATCCAATATTTTAGATTATCCGTTTCCAAGGAGTTTAAAATTATTTGGGCTCTCTTCAATTAAAGAATTAGAAGGCATTGATTGAATGTCTCTTTGCCCCTTTTTAAAAAATATTTAAATGCAAGTTAAAAATAGGTATTTCTTATTTTGTATTTGCATTTTAAATGTAAGTATATACGTATACATGTCCCACCCGTTTTGTTACTCAGAATATACGTAAGTAATGGCTGGCGGCTCTGAGATCTTGCTTTACAAGTTTAATAGAAAGTGCTTGATCAAAATTTTTTAATTTATAGTTTAATAAGATTTGAATGTATCTACTTACTCCATCTTATGGGTTTTTCTGGTGACGATACGTAGTTGTATACAGCAACTCCGTTTTCTTCAACTTCGTTTTCTTGAAAATTACTTTCCACATTGTTATTAAGACATCTGTAATGTAAATTACGTTATATACAGAGTTTTTTTGTCACATTCGATTTTGAGAACGTTTTCTTCTTCATTAAAATTCTTACTTTCGTTTTCCAACATCCCATGCGGCCGCAATGGCACAATTGATAACGTTATCGGCCGGCACCATGTCTGCCAGTTTCTCCGGGTCACAGTGCAGAGTTCGTATCAACCCCAGAGCTGCACCCACAATTATCCCCGTAGCTCCGTACAGGTTATCAATCCATCCTGCCACTGGTTCCTTTGAAGTAGCAAGAACTTAAAAAAGAAAAACAGTCTCAGTCTCACCGGTACAAATTGCTTTTTTGGTTACTTATTTATTATTAAATAAATATTTTTGTATAGGTTAGTCGTAAAAGTTTAATTGTTTATCATTCTTATCATTATTTCTTCCACCTGAAGATGTCTTAATAGTATGGCGAAATAGTTTTTTTGTACACAATCAAAAGCAGTTTTTTGAAACGAAACTTTGTTTTTGTGATAAAAGTTTTGCTTGTATAAGTTATCTATAAAAGGGCATACCTATGGAAGGCCTTATCATAGCAACCGGAAGTCCTGCACCCTCCTTTTTGACAACGTCTTCGGCTATAGCTTTGGTATAGACGTAAGTGTTGGGAAACTGACCTAGAAGTCTGAGAGAAAAATGTTTTTGCGTCTCGTCTGATGAACTTTGATTAAATTGAAAATAATAGATTATAGAAGAGCGCGATACTTACGCGGGGGTGATTGCTGTAAGGGTTTCATCGTCTAGTGATTCGACAACGTTCAAAAGTTTATCGGCTGTAATGGGAGGCTCGTAAAATTGCTCGTCGATTTCTTTTCTGGGACAATGGGAATATGCTGTGGATACGTGGATGAAAGACTAAAAAAAAGAAAACAATGAACGGATATAAAGCAGAGGATAGCGCAGGGTCGTGTTGCCTTTAATAAAAAGAAGTCACTTCAATGCTCGCGAACCGTTAATTTAGAAATTCGAAAAAGGTTGTTAAAGGTGTATGTTTGGAACGCGGCGTTGTACGGGTGCGAAACATGGACGGTGGGCGCGGCGGAAAAGAAAAGGTTAGGTTAGGTTAGGTTAGGTTAGGTTAGGTTAGGTTAGGTTAGGTTAGGTTAGGTTAGGTTAGGTCAGGTTATGCTAGACTAGGGCAGGCTAGCATAGGTTGCGCTGGATAGGCTTGGGTTGCGGTGGGTTGGGTTGTTGAATTATCAGTTATATTTGTGAGCCACTATCACGATAGGCTATCGTTTATTAGTAAGTTTTACCTTTTGGCTTTAAGTTACGGCGATAATGGTCAATTATTCTTAAAGGAGGTGCACATTGCCCCGATTCCGTCTAGCCATTCATTTCCTTCCTTTTGGCGACTTAAACACTGTTAGCCGTTGTTTCNTAAGAACAAAGGCTTTCACGGCCGGAATCCATAGTAGAATGAAGATTCGGGCTATAGGGCCGTGGTCTAAGTGAACTGTTCCGTCCAGACGTTTCGTCAGCTACTGCGGCTGACATCTTCAGTGGTAGTGCTGCGTTGACAACGTGAACGTAGATTATATCTCGGTTAGATTAGATTATATCTCGAAGTCTCGACAGCGACAGTCAATCTGCGTACACGTTGTCAACGCAGCACTACCACTGAAGATGTCAGCCGCAGTAACTGACGTAACGTCTGGACGGAACAGTTCACTTAGACCACGGCCCTATAGCCCGAATCAATTATGAATTAATGAATAATTAGAATGGTGGTGCAGTTTCTGAAACATGAATGGTTCGTTTAGAATTATAACTGATAGGTACATTTTGTCAAAGGGGGAGGGGGCGAATTCCAGAGGACGTCACAGTAAAAATAAGTAGGGAAGTCCTGTTAAAAACTATTTAAAACGCTCGTAGGGGAAATGAGTGAAATAATAATTTTTGAGATTTTGTTATCGTGTTTTTGTTATCGTGTTATACATAATTCTGAACTGACCTTGAGGTTCTTCATGTCTTTGGCCATACGTAACAAGTCTCTTGTGGCTCTAATATTTATGTATGTGGACACCCGAATCTTTTCATCGAATCTTACGGTCGCAGCAACATGAAAGATGCAGTTAACTTCTGCCAAAATTCTTTGTTTGTCTTCTTCCGATAGTCCCAAATTGGGTTCAACCAGATCGCCGTAAATCATGCTTACTTTATCAAAGGCCTTTGAATTCTCCCTTCTTAATCGATCAAACAACTGAAACGTAAAACAGTAGTTCTTATATGTTTAGAAAAATAATTCGACTGTATTTTTTGTCTTACCACTCCATCAAACATTTCTTCCAGCCGTTGCTCCGCAGTTTTCCCTTTTTTCTGGCGAATCATAATGTAACATTTCTTCAAATCCGGACAGGATCTCAATAATTTTTCCGTTATCAATTTCCCTAAAAATCCTGTGGCACCCGTTAAGAATACCGTTGTCCCATCGAAATACTGCTGGATCTGGGATGGTTCAGTCAGGGGAGGTATCATGTCTGCGGCAGTTATGTCGCCTCCTTCACGTTCGTCTGTCATCTTTTTTACTAATAAATAAAATAAATATCCATGTATCTTATTCTACTAGAGCATCTTCTCTATAGTTCTGATTTGTTGTACAATGTTAAGTATATCCATAATACTTTTACTTGTTATTGCATTAAAATATTTTATACCTACCGGTTTTTTAATAGCTGGTACAATAATTACATGCAATAGCTATAATAAGTATATCTGTACAACTTTTATTATGTAATGTCGAGTTAGCAATTAATGGCGTACTTGGACTACGTTTGTTTAGGCTATTAAGTACAATAATTAATTTTATACGTCTTTATTACTAAAGTATGTAATATAAAGTATTGCTGCCTACTAAAAAAGACAAAAATTATTGTTTTTGTTAGTATATGACACTTTAACTAATTGATATTTAATTAACTCCGGTACGGTCCTGGATGGAAAATTTATAAAATAATTTTAGGAAAAAAACGTTTCTTAAATCAGTCTTAATTTTAAATGTTGTTGTTGTCTTTATGTTTAAAAAAACTCCCAAAACTGATAACAGCTCAAGATATCTAAATTAATACCAATATTCTATGTTGGAAAATAAAAATATCGCTAACAAATTGATGAAATGCATCTGATCTTATTAATGATGATTGTTAATGAAACTAAAGTTTAGAAAAATTAAAATATTATACAAAATTGTAGTAAAATTTGTTATGTTATGTTTACTAGCCAAACAACAGAAATTAGTAAATTTCTCGAATAACGTTTGAAAGCCTACAAAATTCTACATTTTCTCAAACTGAATCGAATATTAAATTGAAGTATTTTGAAGTAACTGCATGTATCTGTACCTTGTTTAACTTCTTGAGTCACATGAACCAAGTTATTGAAAAGAGTTCACCAAACTGCGACCTCATAAGGAAGAAATCTTACAAACGCATTGTACACACCGTTCGAAAATAAAAACAAAACGACGTATTGCCTTTAATGACCTTCTTGTATATAGCTTTTAGCCGGTTGTAAAGAAACCTGCTTGCGGGAAATACATACTGGCCCTAAGTTTCTTTTTTGAACTATTCCATGATTCTGTTTCAACTTTTTAAGAACTCGGAAAACCCAAAAGCCAAAAAAGTGTTATAATTTTTGGTTTATACTATTTTTTATTGTCTAAAATTAGTTGAAACGGTAATCAATATGATTAGATTAATGTAAGCCGTTGCAAATTACGAAAATGATTACCAGAATTCGTGAAATTACCCAAAATGTTCGGAGACTCTAACGATGCGTTAGGAAAGAAACCTTTTAAAATTAATATATGTGATCTGTATCACAATCGTGTGCTT